TATTGTCCGGCCTGATTGCATCTTCAGTCGGGGTTTGCAGGAAGGGGTGCCCAGGTGCGGTGTGGAGTTGATGGCCATCTCGGCCTGGCTCCTTTCTTTGTTTGGCTTAATCGTTCGTGTCCTGCTCTTTCTTTCAGGCTGATGAACGTCGCCTAGGGTCGTTACCGCCTGAATGGGTAGTTACTGCTGGGTTTGGGGAAATTCTTCAGCCACACTATATTTTATATACTTTTTACATTGTTACAAATCTAGTTATATACTTATTTATTCTTTCACGAATTTTTTTATCCAAGGTTACATTTATCACAGTTGTAACTAACATTATCAATCCAGCTTCTTTTCTCAGTGGGAATCAAGGGGAGCTGGTGCACCACGACTGCCTGGAGACCATCGAAGCTTCCTACTCCAGCCGCCCTGACCTGAAAGACACCCCGCTGGATGATGCAGAAACCCGGTTCACTGATGGGAGCAGCTACATCATCAGTGGAAAGCGACAGGCTGGGTATGCAGTTACCACCTGCAGAGAGGTAATAGAATCTGGACCCTTGCCAGCAGATACCTCTGCACAAAAGGCAGAGATCATTGCTCTAACCTGTGCCCTGGAGATCACCAAGGGAAAGAAAATAAACATCTCTACAGACTTGAGATATGCATTTGGGGTTGTACATGCACATGGAGCTATCTGGAAAGAAAGAGGACTGTTAAACTCACAAAGGAAAAACATCAAACATGTGCAAGAGATATTGCAACTACTGGAAGCAGTCCAGCTACCTGAGTAGGTAGCAATTATGCACATTAAGGCACACCAGAAGGTGAGCTCAGAATTGGAGAAAGGGAACGAACTGGCGGACAGAGAGGCAAAAGCAGCAAAAGGTGAGATAATGATTGAGGGAGCCCTAATTCCCAATGGAAAGGTCTCCCTTGAAGGTAAGCCAGTATATACCAGAAAAGATAGAAAATTAATTCAGGATCAAGGAGGAAAATATAACCAAGAGGGATGGGCTATTACTGCAGAAGGGACAATAGTCATCCCTTCTCATTTTTTATGGTCACTAGTAAGAGAAGAGCACCAGAAAACACATTGGGGAATAGATGCCCTGTATAACTATCTCATCAAAAAGATCACTGCCAGAAATCTACACTCCGCTGTCATTCAAGTAACCCGGCAGTGTGACATTTGCCTCCAGACTAGACCCAAGAATACCCCCAAACCAAAACTTAGTCAGATTGGGAAAGGCCATGGGCCTGCACAACAGTGGCAAATTGACTTCTCAGAACTCCCAAGAAAAGGGGGGTATCTATATTTGTTGGTTTTAACAGATACCTTTTCAGGGTGGCCAGAGGCTTTTCCTACCAGAACTGCCAAAGCCCAGGAGGTAACCAAGGTATTGTTACAAGAGGTAATACCACGCTTCAGGGTTTCAGACACAAGATCTTCAGATAGGGGGCCACATTTTATCTCAAAAATAGTACAACAAATCAGTAGACATCCGGAAATAGATTGGGAACTCCACACCCCTTATCGCCCCCAGTCAAGTGGCCAAGTGGAAAAAATGAATTATTTAATTAAACAGCAAATTGTGAGGCTGAGACAAGAAGTTAATTTGTCCTGGCCTCAATCTCTCCCATTGGCATTGATGCAGATCTGAACCAAGCCTAGAGCCAAAGAAAAACTAAGTCCCTTTGAAATGCTTTATGGGAGACTGTATGGTGTGCAAAAGGGATTGTCTACCCAAGTGAGGGAGGAGATGCTGACTGCCTATATGATAGCCCTAGGCAAGCAGCTCAAAGCAGTTGAGAAACATGTGGCTGGAACCTGGAGCAGAGGGCTGGATGGGCCAGTGCATGACATACAGCCTGGAGATTATGTGTATGTTAAGTCTCTTACAGAAAAAACTTTGGAGCCACAGTGGGGAGGACCGTTCCAGATGATCCTCACCACCTTCACTGCAGTTAAGATCAAAGAACAGAGCGCCTGGATTCACCATTCTCAAGTGAAGAAGGCTCCAGAAGCCCCTTGGAAAGTAACACTGTGTGACAATGAACTGAAACTAAAACTTACTCGAGCAAAATGACTACATTGTGGTTGGGAGTATTCCATGATTTAGCTTGCAGAAACCTAGTTAATAGAATCATTCTGTTTGTGTTTCTTGTAGCTATAAGTGTAATCCAAGAATTGGAAAGCACCTCTAGCCAGAAAAGTGCGGAATGGCCTTGGTCCCAAGCTTTCATTCAATCCACTGGATTCATGGGAAAATATTCTGATATCAAGGATTTAAACCTGTCAACTGTGGTTATGCATGAAAACCAGGTGTATGAAAAGCGAGAATGGCAAAGAGAATAGTTGTGGGTCCTTCAAGGAACTATAGGAAAGGTAATCAGAGTAGGATGCTGGATGATTAACAGAACTAACTATGAAAAGGCAATTGAAATTAGTGTTTCAACTTATCCCACAGGCAAGCACCGAAAAATTTGTAATCATCTAAGTAAATTGGATTGTTGGTATAACTTCACATTAGTGCAGACAGTAGATGTGGTTTGCCTGTGGAGCCATGGTATTACTGGGCTCTCATTCAAATTTAAAATAAAAGCCATGCCTGTTTCAATGACCAAATCAACCGTAACCCAAGCTCAGGCCACACCACCTAAAACTGAACCTAAAATTTATGAAGTTAGCCCCTATGTAATAAGGAATATGGGACAACAACAGCTTTTATTTAACCCAGAGTGGTCTCTCAAGCATATTGAATTACTAATGCAAACTAACATCTCTGAGATTCAGCCAGCCTGCTCCTCTTTCCTAAAGACATCATCCGAGAGCTGGGCAACATGGTTGCAGAAACAAATTTACTTCAGAAGCAGAAGATGAAGAGATTTAACTGGAATATTAGGAACACGATTGGGGGTCCTAAATGGAATTGATTCGGAAATATTAATGAATAAATTAGGTGCTGCAACAAGTGATTTGACCAAACTAAAACAGCCCTTAAAATCCTCTTTATTAGCACTAAGAACTAACCAATGGCAAATTTCCAAAGTTTCACCAAAATGGGAAGAAACTGGAGACCAAGACCACAAACTAATAATAAATGCACTTAATATGGCCCAGGACAATGTGTCCTTAGCCTTCAGCTGCATACAGGCACAATTATGAGTACAATCAATGATTGCTTTAATAATAAGGGAAGGAATTGAAGGTGCTTTCCCAATTGAGATTCAGAAGATTGTCTGGGACAATGAAAACAATTTAGAAAGGAAACTTCAATCCTGGTGGACTCTGGTAAACTTTACTTATGACATCACCACTGAGACCACTACTGCTTTCATGCTGACTATACATAATGCCACAATTTACAATATCCACCCTATTCTTGCATTAGGACTGAATCATGAAAAAACAGTGCTCTACCCCTTGGAGCATAGAGCATGGGCCTGGATGATAAATGAAAAATGGCAAACTGTAAATAAATTTGGAATCTTGTGTTATCCGAGAACAACAAGGGTTTATCTGTGAGACTAACACAGTTGATGCACTAAATATATGTCTGGACACTGAGCAAAACATTTGCCACTTGGAGATTCATCCAGATACTGATCAAAAAACTGTACTTGTATATCTTGGCCAAGGTTGTGTATGTTTAAGAATTGCTTGTGTTTCCGTAGAAATAGATGATAACAATGTAACCTTACCTAATAAGAATAATTCTAATTTCTGTATTTGTAATTTTGTTAAGATAATAGGGTATGGTTTTTCATATGTGGCACTAGCTACATCCCACCAGTTGATGAGATCTAACTATACAATATACCATAAATTATCACCTACATCCATTGGAAGGAACCTTACATTAGTAAGACAGCTAAGGAACCACCAAGACTTGGCAAAAATGCTGAAGGGGATTCAAGAAAATGGGCAAAATACTCTGATTACTGTCTATCATGATGAAAAAGAAATAAGCAAAGTATTACAAAGAGTGAACCAAGATACAAATCATCACTGGTGGGATGCACTCTTTGGATGGTCACCAACTGCAGCTGGGATATTGAACACACTTTGCCACCCTATCATTGTCATACTGGCATCAGTAGGTATAAGTCTGGTGCTATCTATTGCACTGCTTGTTTGGAATTGGAGGATGTTAAAATGGATGGCAGGACTGACTTCCCCAGCAGCAGGTATGGTAATGCAATGAGGGATACATACTGAAGAGAGCAAGCTGCAGAGGTGGACTGAAAAAGAAAAGGCATTAGTATTGCTAAGTAAAAGAATTTACTGATTTTCTAGAAAAGGGGGGACTGAAACAGAGAAATTAAGAATTAGGAAATAAACATAAAGAAATGCTTGACTAGAAAAGGTGGGGGGGGGGTGTTGACAAAAACCATACCCTGACACTCTGATCCACAAGAACAGGAAAAGGGTCAGACTGCAAGATAAGATAAGGAGCAAGAATACACAAACAAGATGCAAAGACAAAGGCACCACAGGATAAAGGGGTTTCCTTGGACCCTAAGCCAGAAGGAATGGATTTAAAGTCCCAAAAGGTGGTCAAAGGACTAAAAGGGCCATGGAGCTAATTTTAATATGAAGTGAGAACAGGCGGGGTTAGAAAAAAATGAATATGTATTAGGCGTATCGTGTAACCTTAGTTTGTAAAGGATAAAAAGAGAAAAACAAAACAAAAAGGTGCGCAAGCTTTTCCGAGAAGATATCCCACATGCACGTCAGCGCTGAATAAATTCATACCTGCTCTTATAACTACTCTGTGAGTTATAGAGTTCTTTTCTATTCTGCATATCAGATGAGACCCCCCCTGAGCTTCCTCTGCTCTGGGAGGCACAGTCCCAGGTCTCACAGCTTATCCTTATATGAAAGATGCTCCAACCATTCCTCCTTGTAGATCTTCACTGGACTCCCTCCAGCATGTCCGTGTCTCCAGGACTTGTTCTTGGGAGCTCTGCACTGGGCACAGTACTCCAAAAGTGGCCTCACAGTCACATCCATGACCACCTGTGACCTGCTGACAACATCCCCAGTGCAGCCCAGGATGTCATTCACCTGCTTTGCCTTGAGGAGACAGTGACCTCATAGTCAATGTGGTGCCCCTCCCAAATCCCTCTGCAAAGCTGCTTTCCAGCAGGGTGGCCCCCAGCATATTCCAGTGCTGGAGTTGTTCCTCCCCAGGGGCAGGACCCTGCATGCTCCTGGTTGAGCCTCAGGAGATTCCTGATGGCCCATTTCTCCAGCCTATCCAGGTCCGTCTGGATGGACACATGACCCTCTGGTTTTTCAGCCCCTCCTCCCAGTTTGTCATCTGAATAGTTGCTGAGTGCCGTCCAGGTGGGAAGATGTTAAACAGGCCAGGGCCCAGCACTGATGCCCGGGGACACCACAAGTGACTGGCTTCCCACAGGACCATGTGCCACTGGCCTCCATCTCTGGATCCAGTCATCCTGTTTCAACTTTTGTTTATCCAGTAAACCAACAGCTTCCCTAGGAGAAGCAGACGAGCCAGACACCTCCAAGCAGTGTAGGTGAACACTGTCACCTGCTGTTCACTTCTGCTCCTCTGCTGATGATGGAGTCATCAGGGAAGTTGGTCAGGTGGCCAAGCAGGACGTCCCCTTGGAGAAGCCAAACTGACCCCTCAAGAGGTTTTTGTTCATGTGCCCAGTGATGGTTACCAGAACTTAGTGCTCTATCATCTTCCCAGGATGAAGGTGAGGCAAACTGGCCTCGAATCCCCCTTTTCACATATGTCTTGGGTTGCAATGCAAGATGCAACCAAAAGTATGTATTCTATCACGATCTGTTGAAACCTGGTGGGGCAGTTTTCTTTATCTCTTTCATGATCCATCCCTCATAACTGGGAGATATCTTCTGTTGATGGGCCAATTGTTAAAGCCAGGTGGGGCAGTGTTCTTTATCTCTTCCATGACCCATCCTCCCGCCCTCCAGGGGAATATCGTCTGTTAATGGGCCATTGAGTCTCATTACATGACTGATAAAATTACATCATCCCATTGTGAGATGGCCCACCCAGGGGGAGGAGCCAAGCATCTAAACCTGTATATCTTTAGAGACTGGGAACACCACAGCAGCCTTTCTCCACTAAATTCCCAGAGAAGAGAAACTGGACCTATCTACACCACTAGACCTTCAGAGGAAAACTATGCCCTTCTACAGGATCATTAACAGACCACATCTGTCACTCCAGGAGGAATGCAGCCACCATTAAATTGGACTGCTACCAACACCCTGACTAACAGGGTGTCAGGTTGTATTCTGACTCTGTCAGTGGGTTGTTCTTTAGTTTGTTTTATTTTTTTGTACTACTGCATTTTTATTTTAATTTTCCTACTGAAGAACTGTTATTCCTATTCCTATATCTTTTCCTAAGAGCCCCTTGATTTAAAGATTGTAATAATTCAGAAATGGGTGGGTGGTTTACATTTTTTCCATTTCAAAAAAGGTTTCTGCCTTCCTTAGCAGACACCTGTCTTTTCAAACCAAGACAACACCCTTGCAGAAACTAGCAGTGATGTCGACTCTCCTCAGTCCCTTCCCAGTTGCCACCATTGATCACAAATTACTGCGAGTGCCCCAATACGATAGCAGGAACCACTTCTTACAATTCCCTCAGCTCCTGACTCAGTCTCACAGGGACCCAGGGATCCTGTACTCTCTAACCAGTATCCTCCTCTGCCTCACTTCTTAATTCACCAGGGTCCTCCTCTGCCTTTTGCAGACACTGTGGCAGGTACAGGCTGAGGGTGAATCTGTCACCTAGACCCCTGTGTATATGTGCACCCTGAATGCAGGTGTTCACACCTGCCTGTACAAAGTGCTTCACTGAAGCACAGGGACACTGTCACACATAGGTGCAGCAGCACCTACACACAAAGCCACATACACACAGCTGCACACCAGACACACACAGCTGCCACAGAGCTTCACACACACATCTGCACACACACTGCTGTACACACAGAGCAGTACACAGACAAAGAGGCACATGCAGAACACACAGCCCACTGTGGAGGCTCTGGAGCCAAAAGCTATCATGGTGTGGAAGGAGGCCTCCAGGGTGAAAGGTTTTCCCCCATTTTAAAGTTAATAAGAAGGGCTTCTCCCATAGTCCTTTGCACGTCCATTTTTTTGTACCCCAGTTCATATACCCAGTTAGCCTGTTGGCTGTCGCTCCCCTTTTTACCTTGAATGTCCCTTCCCTAGAAAGTTCTCCCTTCCCTATTTCCCTGTTGGCCCCAGTTTGGTGCGCTCCTCTGCCCCTGTAATCCCGTTGTCTCCCTGTCCCTGACCCCGCCTCTGCACCACTTTCCCCTGTTCCTATTGGGCCCTGACCCTTGGATCTTCCCCCTCAAGCCCACATATATTCTTGGACCCTCCATTGCTGCCTGTGTTTGTTCCTGGACCCCTTTGGTGCATCATTGGAATAAGCCTCACTGGAACTCCATATAGAGACCCTTCCTGTGATTGCTATCCGTGGTGTGTCAGAGAGAGTATGTGTGTGTGTCTGTGTGTGTGTGATTGCAGCCTGCCTAGACGCTGTCTCCTCTGGAGGCACTTTTGGGAAGGTAGCATTGCCTGACCAGTTACACCCAATGCTACAGCCCACATGTAAATACACACACACTCTCTCACACACACACAGCTGCCACAAGGGTGGGTGTGTGTGCACACACCAACAACGCAAACACTGCAGCAGACCACAGACACATCTGGCACAAGCTGACACAACAGCTGCAGTGGTGAACAGTCATATACACAATAATGCACCAGGGCAAGCATTCATTTTCAGGGGCAGATGTGCATTTGCAAGGACAAATGTTCATGCACAAGAACATATGCATACATGCAAGGATAGGTGTGCAAAGACTAGTGTGCATGTGCAAGGACAGCTATGCAAAGACAGATGTGGACGTGCAAGAGCAGGTGCGCACACGCAAGGAAAGGCTTTCGGGGGACGGAGGGGACGAGGCGCGGGCCATCACATGAGCGGGGTGGCAGGTGAGCGACGGGTGGGGCCGTTCCTGCACCTTTAAGGCGTCGCGCAGGTGGCGGGCGTTGACGTCAGTGTGTGGCTACGTCACGGGGCGGGGCCGCAAGGTGCACGGGGCCGCAAGGTGCACGGGGCCGGGTCGGGGTCGCTTCGGTCTCCTCCTGCCGATGGACCCGGCCCGACGCGGTAGCGCCGACCGGGGCTCGGCCTCCGGCGCGGGGTCCCGACCCGGTCCTTTGCGCGGCCCGGGGAG